ACCTCAAAGGCTAACCCCCACTGAATGTGCAATAAAGGGAAGTTTTCTGTGTAGATGGTTTTGTATATGAGTGTACATGTTTTTCTCTAGTTTTTATGTAATCTGTGTGTGTGTTCATATATGTACTCACCTACATACACAAACCATCTTAAGGCAGACCACTCTGGGCAGCAAATGACTGTAGAGAAGTCCCTTCAGAGGGTAAAAAATGAACCCATCTGGCTGGGTGTGGTGGTGCACACCTGTAATCCCAGCAATTTGGGAGGCTGAGGTGGGCAGATCACCTGAGGTTGGGAGTTCAAGACCAACCTGACCAACATAGAGAAACCCCGTCTCTATTAAAAATACAAAATTAGCCAGGTATGGTGGCTTATGCCTGTAATCCCAGCTATTTGGGAGGCCGAGGCAGGAGAATCGCTTGAACCTAGGAGGCAGAGGTTGCGGTGAGCCGAGATCGCACCATTGCACTCCAGCCTGGGCAACAAGAGTGAAACTCTGTCTCAAAAAAAGAAAAAAAAAAAGTACCCATCACCAACAAACCAACTTCAAGTGCAATATCCTAAACCAGAGACCACCATCTCTTGCCATTCACTGAGACTGCAGGCTTTGTTATCTAGTCTGCCCACCGAAGTGCTGGTTGACTATGTGATCTATGTAGGAGGCTGGCTGGGGATGCCCTGCAGCCTCGGGGGCAGAGCCAGAAGCCTGGGGCAGAAGCAGGGCCCAAGGAGGCAGGCTGAGCTCAATGTAGGGTGGGCATTTCTATCACTCAGCCATGGGAAGACCTGCTTCTGGAGCTAGCCAGCTCTCCGTCATGGCTGTGCAGGAGGAGAGGCTGGCATGACCACGTGCTGCCGAGGAGACTGCTGTCCAGGGTGGGCTGTTGAGAGAGACCTCTGCTGTCTCTGCCTGTTTGCAGATTTCTCCACTCTGGTTCTGAGAGCTCTGAGAATGGGTGATGTGGAAGTGGTGGGTGCTGGGAGGCTGTGTTCACCAAAATGTCCAATTATCCAGGACAGCCTGTGCCCGACACTCCAGGACATGGAGGCTCACGGCAAAGAGCCTGTGTCCTCAGGCTGGGGCTGTGCTCAAATAGGGCATGCACGTTCATTTCTCCTGAGGCATTTCCGCTCTGTGAGAGCACTGACCACGTCTGACCATGTGCAAGGAGCTGCCCCAGGGATGGAGTTGTTGACCACACGGACAAGGGGCCTGAGAGCCCCTATCACAAGCCTCTGCAGCTGGAGTGTCCACAGGACTCTAAGACCACCAGGTGTCAGGTGGTGGCTTCTGGACCCATTATGCAATATTTGATTTAAACAGTGGAGGAGTTGATGGCCCCAGCCCTGCTGCTGCCTTCTCAGAAGCTAGGACGCAGAGATGAACGCCAGGTGCCTTCCATGATGAAGTCACAGGCAACACCTTAGGTGAAAAATAAGGTGGCAGGAACCTGATCTCTGTTACAGCAGCTAGCTCATAACTGTACTCAGCTACCAGGCAGAGTCCAAACAGCCCCTCCAAGGACTCCCTATCATGTCACCTTGTTTGAGTGTCCTCGGGCCTCTTCTCATTAGCTGATGTCTGCTTATGAATTGTTTGTTTATTGTCTGTTCCCATACTCCCTGCTAAGAGTGCAAGCTTTATGAAGACAGGGCCTTCATAAAGATATTTTTGTTCTTTTTCTTCAATGTAAGATTCCTAAAATCCAGAACAGCAATTGCTTCATAGGGGGTGCTTCATAAACGTGTGCAGTTGCGTAGAGAACAATGATGGGATTGCAGTGAAGGTGGTGATGAGGGACGGAGAAGGGGATGGGCCCCTTTAGACTTAGCTACAACGCCATCTGACCTGTTCACGAATTCTCAACACTATCCTGCCATCCCTTAGGGAGAAGCTTGCCAAAAGGGCTCAGACACTAGAGAGCCATGTCCAAGCCCAATGAAGGTATGAGCGCAAAGCAGAATGAGGTCCATGGCTGCCCACCCCTCCTTCTCCCCATTTCAATCCACAGTGGCTGCCAAAATTCTGCCTCTTGCCTTGTATAGTACCTGACCTGCAGTGACTCCTCATCAAATAAACATGGAATAAAAGAATAACTGCATGCGAGCTGTGGCTGCAAGCACTTCATGGTGATTCGGCCACATTAGCACTTTACACTCAGGCTCCTAAATTGGTCTTCAAGATTCTAGAATCAAAGGGAGTCAGTTATCGGCCAATTCTCTAAGAGTTCACCAAGAAATAGTTCCACTATAAGGAGATGGAGCTTCTGTGCGTGCCACTGCGGGTGTGAACATGTCTGTGTCAGTTTGCATCGCATGTGTAAGAGCATGCATATATGCATTAAGTGTGTGCCTCCTTCTTGCCAAGGTATGAGCATCACATCTGTGTGTCTGTGACGGTGTGTGTGTAGATATTCACATGGGATTGGTGAGAGCGTATATGGAGAGAGAGAGAGAGAGAGAGAGAGAGAGAGAGAGAGTGTGTGTGTGTGTGTGTGTGTGTGTGAGAGAGAGAGAGAGAGAGAGAGAGAGAGAGAGAGAATTATTCTTGGCTGCAGAATTTGAATTTCTGCTCGTACTATTTTCCTGGTACACACCCAATCTGGATCCCCTTTCTTTTCCTTTCTTCTCAGAAATCCATTACTAAAAGGTTTTTTACCCGCCTCCAGGGGGAGGGGGTTGGGGGAAGGAGATGCTAAAGTCACAAGGCCCAGATCAAAACACTCAGTAGCTAAATGAATTCGGCAGCATTTTCCCGCATGACTTGGAGGGATAATTTAGTGAGGCCGCCAGCTGGAAGGGAAGGGATTAATTCTGCACTTAGCACAGCTCCCGTGAATAATTCATTACTGGAGACCTTTGTGCCCAGCCCCTGGGCAATTGGGGAACTGTCCTGCCCACCTGCCTGTTGCCTGCCTGGGCCCACTAGGCCGTCAGTCCCCTGACCAGGGGCACCTGACACGCCTTTTAGTCCTGGGATGCACATGGTGGTATTGCATCGAAGGTGGTGATGAGGGACGGAGAAGGGGACGAGCCTCTTTAGACTTAGCTGCAACGCCATCTGACCTGTTCACGAATTCTCAACAGTATCCTGCCGTCCCTTAGGGAGAAGCTTGCCAAAAGGGCTCAGACACTAGAGAGCCATGTCCAAGCCCAATGAAGGTATGAGCGCAAAGCACAATGAAGTCCATGGCTGCCCACCCCTCCTTCTCCCCAGTGGAAGAGGCAGGAGGCAGAGGGAGGTGGGGAGGGGCTGGCAGTGGCCACAGGCAGACGCTAGACCCTGGGAAGAGGCCCTGGAGGGTTGGGCTTCAAACTGGGAAGTTTGTGACCTTTTTCTCCAAGATTCTGCTCCCTCTTTCTTGGGGTTTTTGGCTTCTACCCTTCAGAGCGCAATTCTGAACACCTACAGCAGGGAGTGCCAATGGGGGTCTCAGCCCCATTCCAGAGGCCTTGTAAGGACACTTTTGGCATGGTACTAGCCCAGGTAGACTCCTTATACCCCACACCGTAGGACTCCCTGTGTTCTTCATGAGTGAGGTCACAGAGCCAAGTCCTACCCCAGAGCCAGTGGATGTTTTTCCTGCATGGGAAGAAGGCAGGAGTGGGCTGGCGTGGACATTAGTCCGTTGCAAGCATATTCTGGGTTCATAGTTCTAAAGCACCCACGTCCCAGCACCACTGAGAGGAAGGGGGAAAGTCCAGCGGGTGTCTGGCACGCGCTCTGCAGCCAGATGAGCAGAGCTGGGCTCAGAGACCAGGAGTAGCTAGCTAGAGGGATCGAGGCCCGTCCAGCAGGCAGGGCTCAGCCCTGGGTGTCTTCCCATTTGGACCAAGCCAGATGTGGTAGACAGAATTCCAAAAACTGGCCTCCAAGATTTCACAACCTCACTCTTGGAACCCGTGAATATGATGATCGATCACTCCTGGGATTATGTTTGTTATACGGCACGGTTGACTTTAAGATAGGGAGATGATTAGAGTGGGCAGACCTCATCACCCCAGCCCCTCTAAAAGCACCTCTAAAAGTTTTCTCTGGCTGCTGACAGGAGAGGAAGTCAGAGCTTTGAAGCGTGGGTTGGGCATGGTAAATCCCAGCACTTTGGGAGCCTGAGGCAAGTGGATCACCTGAGGTCAGGAGTTCGAGACCAGCCTGACCAATATGGTGAAACCCCATCTCTACTAAAAATACACAAAATTAGCCTGGTGTGGTGGCAGGCGCTTGTAATCCCAACTACTCAGGAGGCTGAGGCAGGACAATCATTTGAACCCAGGAGGCGGAGGTTGTAGTGAGCTGAGATTGCAGCACTGTACTCCAGCCTGGTGAAAAGAGCAAAACCCTGCTTCAAAAAAAAAAAAAAAAAAAAAAAAGGGGAGTTTTGAAGCATGAAGGGGACTGGACGTGCCTGCTGGCTTCAGATGAACAGCGCCATTGTGAAGGGGCATGTGGGCATCCTTCAGGAGCTGCCCAAGCTGACGGCCTGCAAGGACACCAGGATGGGAGCCCGGCACTGCAGGGAGCTGGATTATGGCAGCAACCTGAATGAACTTGGACGCAGATTCCTCCCCAGACCCCCAAGAAAGGAAGGCGACCCTGCCAACATCGTGATTCCAGCCACCTCGTGTCACGGGACCTACCTATAGACGTGTCAGCTAATAAATGGGCATTGCTTTAAGCGGCTTAGCTGCTTCTAAAGCAATAGAAAACGGATAGCCTAGTTCAGCAGGCTTGCAGAACCTTGATCCCAGTGAGCCAGACTTGGTTTGGACTGGGTCAGAGGCTGACTCCCCGGTCCGGGTGGCCCTCTGCTCACAACTCTCTTCTTCCTAATCTCAGCTCTGTGTCTTTCTGGAGTCTCAAATCACCCTAAGACGTTTCCATCCAAAGCAGTAGTCCCATTCTCCCTGAAGTCCCTGAACAAGGCCCGCAGTTGTGAAGGACCTTGGGCCTCACTGACATGTGTCTGCTGGCCCTGACCCTCCCCCGGCCCACAGCCTTACCTCGGAGGAAAACAGCTGGAAGGAAAGATCCACTGCGGGGGCCTCGCCACGGATAGTTTTCAGGCTGGTGTCCTGGGGAGAAGGGAGCACTCAGACCACGCTGCCTAGGACAGCTTCCACCTCTGTGCCACCTACTGTTCCGGATTTCTCCGGAAGGTGTCACCTGGGGGCTCGCCCAGGAGGGTGAGAGGGAGGTGGGAGCTGGCCTCCTGCTTCTGCCCTCGCAAACCACCTCCACATCTCCCCTTCTAAACCCCTCTAGAGACCCGTTAGGCACCAGCAGGCACATCTGACAGAGAGATTCTCATTTGCTGAGGTCTATCATATCAGGATGGCCAGAGTATTTTAGGGGAAAAGGTGGCATAGGAGTAGACAGTGACGACGGTAACAATATATATCTATTTTTTTTTGTGACGGAGTTTCGCTCTTGTTACCCAGGCTGGAGTGCAATGGCGCGATCTCGGCTCACCGCAACCTCCGCCTCCTGGGTTCAGGCAATTCTCCTGCCTCGGCCTCCTGAGTAGCTGGGATTACAGGCACAAGCCACCATGCCCAGCTAATTTTTTATATTTTTAGTAGAGACGGGGTTTCACCATGTTGACCAGGATGGTCTCTATCTCTTGACCTCGTGATCCACCCGCCTCGGCCTCCCAAAGTGCTGGGATTACAGGCTTGAGCCACTGCGCCCGGTGACGGTAACAATATTATTAACTCTTATTGAAAACTTATTCTAAGTGCTTTCCATCGGTTTTCTCACAAAATCTCACAGCAACCTTATGAGAAAAGTGCTATTACCATGTACCCATTTTACAGGCAGGGAAACTGAGGCATTGAAACTTTAAGTAGTTTTCCCATGGCCATGTTAGCTGCTGTGTGCCGGAACCAGAATTTGGGCCCAGACAGTCTGGCTCTAGAGCCTGAGCTCTGAACTCTCTTGTTATACACAGAGATTATGGAATTGGCATGCTGTTCCTGTTTTAGATGAGGACTCTGAGGTTCAGAGTGGTTAAGTTATGTGCCTGAATTTCCACAGTGAGGATGGGACCAAGACAGGATTTGAATGTGGGTCTGGCGGCTGGAAACCTGAACTCTTACACTGTCCCGCAGGGTGTCCCTGGACTTCTCTCTCAAGCTGCTCAGAGACAATCTCTCTGGCTTGGTTCATGACAGCCCCAGAGGCAAGACAAGACCGGCTTCTGGGGTTCCAGGGAGCTCCTCATTCCTAGACTGGGTGACTTCCCTGGTGGGTGCCTTGATAGAAACTTTTGGAGAAGCCAAAATCTCCTGTGGAGGTGTGGCGAGGTGGAGCCGGGTGAGGCGGGGTGGGGGCAGGTGGGCGTGCCGGGGGCCCAGTCCAGGGCAGGGAGCTCACCATGACGGGGAGCCGCTCCACGCGAAGCCCATCCATGCCTTTCCCTGTCAGCATCTTCCGGTACAGACGGCTTCTTAGCGGCAACACGGAGATACCCAGGGGCTGCGCGAGGGTCCACGGCTGGCTGCCTTTCACTGTGGGGGAGGGATCAGCTGGGGTTCCTGCCACAGCCCCGACCTGGGCCCCATCCTTTACTACCTGACATCCGGTCCTCCTGCCTCCCGCCACTGCTGCCGCCTGCTTTCCTGTCTCCTGGCCTTTCTCTGCACATACATCCTCTTCTCGTCTTCGGGGCTTTGTGAACTCAAAGCCAACTCTAAACATATTCTGCGTGTCTGGGAAGTTACATGCATCACCCTCGTCTCTGGCCTTTGGGGGCCTTAATCCCACAGTGCAGAAGACTGTGGATCAGCACGTCTCTGAATCCCATCTCCCTCACCCTTCTCTGTGAGTTCTGACAGCTCCACTGCCCCCATCCCGATGGCTGCAATAAAACAAAGCATGGGGCTAAGACCTAGGATGGGCCAGGCCCACGTGTCCTGGCCTGTGGACAGGTCATGTAGCCAGGCTCTGCTCTGCCTGCACTAAGAAGCTGCCTCGGCATCTGGGAACCATCCATCCCTGTGGGAGAGTGGTCTGAACACCCTTTCATAATACAAGTCTCCTGAGGCATGGCTGCCCTGGCAAGGCAGCAGGGGGCACATACTTGAAGCTGAGGGGTAGTACTCCAACACCAGGGCTGTGTCTTCTGAGAAGCTGGTAGCTCCATCTCGGCCTTGGAAGAGGAAGGACTGATTCCACAGGGGCTGCTCCGGGGGTCCCCCAGGCTTGGACAGCTGGAGGGAGAGGGCAAGAGCAGGTGGTGGGGCCACAGGTTCTCCCAAATCAAGACATAGTCAGATACTTGGTTGTGTGTATCTACATTTGTCACAAATGTTTCTCCCAGTTACAAAAGCAAGTTGTCTGGGCATGGTGGCTCATGCCTGTAATCCCAGCACTTTGGGAGGCCAAGGCAAGCAGATCAATTGAGGTCAGGAGTTCAAGACCAGTGGGGCCAACATGGTGAAACACCGTCTCTACTGAAAATACAAAAATTAGCAAGGCATGGTGGCACGCCCCTCTAGTTCCAGCTACTCAGGAGGTTGAGGCACAAGAATCACTTGAACCCAGGAGGCGGAGGCTGCAATGAGCCAAGATCATGCCACGGCGCTCCAGCCTGGGTGACAGAATGAGATCTGTCTCAATAAATAAATAAATAGGCTGGGCGCAGTGGCTCACTCCTGTAATCCTAGCACTTTGGGAGGCCAAGGTGGGTGGATCACCTGGGGTCAGGAGTTTGAGACCAGCCTGGCCAACACGGTGAAACCCCATCTCTACTAAAAATATATATAAATTAGCCAGGCGTGGTGGTGGGCTCCGGTAATTCCGTCTACTCAGGAGGTTGAGACAGGAGAATTGCTTGAACCCAGGGGGTGGAGTTTGCAGTGGGCTGAGATACCGCCACTACGCTCCAGCCTGCCTCTGTCTCTAAATAAATAAATAAAGGCAACACATACATAATAAATACATTTTGGAAAATACAGAAAAATAGAAAGAAGGAAAACAACTTCTGTGTTTCCATGATAAACACGACAATTCACAGAACCGTGTTTCTTCCTAGATGTTTTTGTGTATGTTTTGTACGTAATTGCCTCTCTTCATTTATTATTGGCAAACTGTTTGGACTCTGCCCGCCCCCCGCCCCCCCGTAGCTCATCGATTTCCAAGAGGATAGGAGACAGACACGCACACACGCACACACAGACACACGCATGCACACACACACGCACATGCACACACAGACACACAAGCACACGCATACACGCACACACATGCACACACACACACATACATACACGCGCGCACACACATATATGCACACACATACACACATGCAATACATGCAGCGTTGAGTCTAGCATCCTGCCTTTTTCATTCACCAGTAAAACCTAAGCATATCCAAAGTCACAAAAAACTCTCGTTACCCGTGACTTTAGTAACTTCAGAATATTCTGTCGGGTCCAAGTGCCCTGATTTCTCCCTTCCCAGTTTTCCCCTATAGTAACACTGAATTGAATGTTCTCTACTATGTATCTTCACATTGCAAGTTACTTTCTTACTGCAACTACCTACAATGGAATCCCTGAGTTCAAAGACGTGTATTTTAGGACACCTCATTCATTATTGGTGAACTGTTTTCCTAAAGAGTTGCGCTAATGTTCACACCCATGGCTGGTGGTGTCACCGATGCCAAATTAGACATGACCTCTGTCTGTGTCACGAGCCCCTCTCTGCCTCACACAGCTTCCCCAGCCCCTTGCAGAGGCCGAGACAGCTCTGCAGACTACAGAGCCTCCGTGTGCCCGCAGTGTGGACCAGAGGACACGTGGGAGAGAGACATGATGGCACCCCAGGCCAGCAGTTGGAGCACACACCTGGGTATGATTTAAACAATGAAACAAGACAGTATGAACTACAGCACTGCCCAAGAAGACAGCTATAGGAAATATTCCCGCGGGTGGTCAGAAAAGCCTCCTTGAAGGAAGCAGAACCAGAAAAAGGTTCTGAAGGAAGGTCTGGCCGGGGGAAGAGAGGGATAAAAGTCTTCAGCGTGGGAACACAGCACAAGGAAATATGTGGAGTGGCACTGAGCTCAGCCTGTGCAGAGGACGCCTGGAACGACAGACGCCGGGGGGAGGCCCAGCATCTGCCAAGGCCAGAAGGTGGGAGATGGGAGATGGCCATCAGCCTGTACCTCCCAGTGGGCAGCCCTGCGGGGTCCCAGCACAGGGCTGTGGCTCATTGGCACAGACGCACCAAGTGGCTGCCTTGCCTCTGTTCCCCAGCCAGGGGCTGTCAGCAACAGTAGCAGCCATTCCCACCTCCTGCTCCCCCACAGGATTCAGTCACTGCAAAAGGTCAGCACGAATGCACCGCGGCTCTAGGAGTTATTGATGCGGGATCATGAAATATCGGCATAGGTCCACTCTCCCCACAGTGGCAGGGGCCTGATGACGGTCACACTAATGGGCCTGGTTTGCCCAGGCCCAGCCCGAGGCTCAGCCGTGTCTGCCCCTGCCCGTGGAGAGATAGGGTTGCAATCACTGCAGGGCTAGCGTGCCCTGGACACCTGAACACAGACTGCAGTGATGGGAGCGTCCCACTCCTGGTGGGAGCTTGGCCACCAGGTCCGGTGAGAGAAGTTGGCTCCGAATTCTGTGGGGCTTGGGAGTGATCTTTCAAGAGTGATCCCCAAACCACATCCCTCCCAGAGCCACCCCATTCTCCTGGGTGCAGGAGGGTCCCCATGGCTGCCACTGTCTGCCAGGCATTGGGGCATCTGCTGCCCATGCCTTGCTCCTATCCTGGAAGAGGGTTATTTAGTAGATGTAGCTGCCCTCTCTGGGATCTATTCATGTGTCTAAATGGAGCCTATAAACCCAGGGGTGGTGCCCAATAAGGAACAGCCCTTTCCCAGGGCAAGGCACCTAGGAAAGATCCCTTCAGACCTAGGACTGAGGAGGGAGGGTCAGCCTCTCTTGTGTATGTGCAGGCGGGAGTGGCGGGGACTGGAAGTCAGACCTGCGGAGTCTGACGCCAGAGCCCTGGTGAGGGCGCGGTGGCTGGTGTGTGTGCAGGGTGGGGGCTGGGAGAGGCAGGCACTGCCTGCAGATGCTAATGGGAAGGGCCACAGCCGCAGTGGAATTACGGAATGTCATTAACCCTCAGCTGTGATCTTCAGAAAAGCCATTAACCCCCATGCCATGGAGGCAGACCTGCTTCCCCTGGGGACAGAGCCTTCATTCCACGGCCCCCCCTCATTTCCCCTGGGCCCACCCACACCCACTTCTGCCCGCTCTGCCCAGGCGTAGTGGTCGCCATCTGGAGGAGTTGCTGCCGGGCAGCAGATGCTGGGCTGGGGTCTCCAGGGAGCTAGGACCCCTTGGCTCTGGGCCTGGGTCTGCCTTGACCTTGCCGTGTGACCTTCAACAAGTCCCTTCTCCTCTTCGGGACCTAGTTTTCCCATCATCCAGGGGGAATAGGCCTCAAACTCATTTTGAAAGCCTGTTGTGAGGTTAAAGGAGACAATGGATGTTTTGCTATTAAGATGAAAGTTCTACTGCACTAAGCAAATGTGGACCCTCCATACCAGAGGCCCACGGGGTGCCACTCGAGCCAGACTCTGCCCACCACCCTGTAGCTCACCATCTTCCAAGAGGATGGGGGACACACACACACACACACACACACACAAAATACATGTAGAGTCCTAAGCAGGCTGTGGTTGTGGGAGCTGGAGTGTTCGAGGAGAAATGATTTCTTACCCGATTGCTCAGGGAGGGCCTGAAGGAGAAAGGTGGCAGGTAGGGAGGAGGAAGGCCATTCCAGGCTGAATGCAGCAGAGACAGAGGCTGCAGGTGGGAGGGGGCAGCATGGCAAGCCGTCCGGAGGTGGAGGGGGCTGCAGAACGCCTCTATGAGCTGGAGCCGTAAGCCAGGAGGCTGGAGGGCACTGGGCCTTGTGAACCTGGCTGAGCGGGGCTTTGCCTTGTCGTGATAGGGACGAGGGGCCCAGGGGAAGGGCTAGGCAGGGGAGGCCCTAGCTGCTCCTCAGAGAATGAATGGCAGGGGCCTGAGGGGAGACCAGCACTAGGGCAGGGTCTGTGACGATGGAAGGGCCCCCAGGAGAGCTTGGGACAGACCAGCTGTGGGGCTGAGAGAGGAGGAGATGGTGGTGGGTACACATGACTTCCCGGAGCTCCACCCCGGCTCTGCAGGAGACAGGAACAACAGGAGCAGCTTGCTGGGCAGTGGGCCCCTTCCAAGGCGTTGGTGTAGGAGTAACTTACACAGCCCACCCTATGTTGGTTCCAGCAGGCTGGACCAGATGAAGTCTGACCGGCCACCTATCCCAGTTCAGGCTTTGCCATCATCACCACGCTCCACTGAGGGCCGCCTAGCCCACCACCATTCACCTCCCTGCCTCATCACCAGCAGATGGCCTTTGGGTTCAGGTGACCCATAACCTTCCACATTAATACCAGCAAGGCAGAACCACACCCCTCCTCAGTGATTGGCTCAGGGAGGTGCCTGTAACTCAATCCTGGCCAATGAGACAGGAAGGAAGTCTGCTGAGGGATGTCTGGGTGAGGTGGATTTCCAGTTGCTCCTTTTTTGTTGTTTGTTTTTTGAGACAGAGCTTTGCTCTTGTCACCCAGGCTGGAGTGCAGAGGCACGATCTCAGCTCACTGCCACCTCCGCCTACCAGGTTCAAGGGATTCTCCTGCCTCAGCCTCCTGAGTACCTGGGATTACAGGCACGCGCCACCACGCCCGGCTAATTTTTGTACTTTTAGTAGAGACAGGGTTTCATCATGTCGTCCAGGCTGGTCTCGAGCTCCTGACCTCAGGTGATCCACCCACCTCGGCCTTCTAAATTGCTGGGATTACAGGCATGAGCCACCGCACTCGACCTCAAGTTGCTCTTTAAAACCACCTGCAAAAAGAGAGGCTGTGGCCAAGTGCGGTGGCTCACGCTTGTAATCCCAGCACTTTGAGGCCAAGGCAGGTAGATCACTTGAGGTCGGGAGTTCGAGATCATCCTAGCTAACATGGTGAAACCCTGTCTCTACTAAATGTACAAAATTAGGTGGGTGTGGTGGTGCATACCTGCAATCCTAGCTACTTGGGAAGCTGAGGCAGGAGAATCCCTTGAACCCAGGAGACGCAGGTTGCAGTGAGCCAGAGTGGCACCACTGCACTCCAGCCTGGGTAACAGAGGGAGGCTTGGTCTCCACAAAAAAAAAAAAAAAAAAAAAAAAAAGACGAAGAAGAGGGGGAGAGGCTGCCTCTTTTCTGCTGGTCTTTCATTCTATTTGGGTGGGATGCCCCCATGAGCCATTAGCCAGCTGAAGATGGTAATTCATGGGTGTTGGAAAGATCCTGAGATGTCGAGGACACTTTTGAGCCTGAGCATCCATCAATTCTGGCAGCTTCCTATGTCATGATTTGATGTGGTGTGTGACAATAAATATCCTTAGTGTTTAAGCCGATCCAAGCTGGGGTTTCTGTTAACTGGAGCCAGATGAGAAAAGAGCAGTGATGAGGCTAGCCTCAAAGGGGGCACTGGCACCAGGGGAGGTACAGCTCTGAAAAGAGTGGAACCCATTTATCAAGGACCCTGGGCCTGGGCACTTTGCAAAGATTATCCTTTGCATTCCCCTGACAGCCCGAGGAGATTGGAATCAATGGGTCTGGAGAAAGGAGCAGCTTACCAAAGGTCATGCAGCCAGTAAGTCACAGAGCTGGGGTCAAATCCAGGTCAAACAGTGCTTTTGCATGGTGACAGTTGGTGAGAAATCACAGCCCCCCAAGATGTCAGAGAGGGCAGGCCCTAGAAATTACCAAGTTCAATCTCACCCACTCAACTGTAGAGATAAGGGGACTGAAGGTCAAAGGGGACAGGGCGGGGGTCTGTGTGAGGTCTGAGTGTGGGCTGCTGACTGGTGCCCCTCCAGGTAGGGCTCTGCCCTGTCAATCCCCGCCCCTCCTTCCCACAGCAGCCTGCCCCGTTCTCTCACTGCTGCACCTGGGCACCTCTGTGCCAGCTGCCAGCAAATTCCCAACCTGGCCCAGCGGCCATGGGGTTGGGTGATGTTCAACAAGTGTCCTGCCATTGCTGGATCTCTGGCTCCGGGTCCCACACATGCAAAAGGCATTGGGGACAAGTCTCTGTAGCGAGGGGCGCCTTCCCCACCCAAACTAGTTTGGCAGCAAAGGCAGCCAGAGAGAGCCTGGGAGTGGGAGGGGGCGCACTCATTAAAGCAGGCAGCGCCTCCTACCCCTTGGGACAGCCTGCTGATTGGTTCTTAATTTTCTGGGCAAATGCAGAGCCATGTGTGAAGTAACTCTGGGGAAATCAGGCAAAGGATTGGTTTGGGTTTGAAGCTTCTGTCCCCAGGGTCCCCCTTTGTCCCACTCCTTCCCAACACCATCACTCTACCCCACGTCTGAGACTTCTTCAAATGTCTTTGCTTTTAAATGAAGGCTGGGCTCCAAAGGGGTGTCTTATTCTTTTTTTTTTGAGACGGAGTTTCGCTCTTGTTACCCAGGCTGGAGTGCAATGGCGCGATCTCGGCTCACCGTAACCTCCGTCTCCTGGGTTCAGGCAATTCTCCTGCCTCAGCCTCCTGAGTGGCTGGGATTACAGGCACGCGCTACCATGCCCAGCTAATTTTTGTATTTTTAGTAGAGACGGGGTTTCACCATGTTGACCAGGATGGTCTCGATCTCTTGACCTCATGATCCACCCACCTCGGCCTCCCAAAGTGCTGGGATTACAGGCTTGAGCCACCGCGCCTGGCCCATTGTAGCCATTTTTAAGTATATGATTCAGTGATGTTAAGTGCATTCATATTGTTGTATAACCATCCCCACTGTCTATTTCCAGGATGTTTCGTCACTCGAAACAGAAACTGCGTACCCGTGACCCGTAACTCCCCGTTCTCCTCTTTCCCCAGTCCCTGTAGCCATTATTCTACATTCTGACTCTGAATTTTCCTATTCTAGGTATCTCATATAAGTGGAATCATACATCTGTCCTTTTATATCTTCTCTCCTCTGATGTTATAGCCCTGACAGGCCCTCCTGGTTTGTTATTAGATTATCCATTATCTTGTCTTGATGTTCAAATTTTCACCCATGTGACTCCCATCCTCACCAGACCAAGAGTTCTGGGAGGGCATTTTCTCTGCAGCACAGGCGAGCGTAGCCCTGGGTATGCCTTGGGACGCAGTCAACCTTTACTCAATAGTCAAGGGAACTGTTGCCTAACCCACTGAGTGAGTGACAGTGAATGTGTCGGGGAGTTACCGGAAGCTGGAACCAGTGGGGAGGAGACATACCTGAGGGCATCCGTTCTGGCTGACCCGAGGCACGTCAAAGTTCATCACAGACGGGATGGGGAAGGAAAGTGGGGTGATGGGCAGCCCCACGGAGGTCAGGTCCCTGTTGGCCTGGCTGACCCTGGGGAGGCAGAGAGACAGAATTAGTGCTCTGGGCTCTGCACCTGAGCCTGGCAGCCTGGGGCCCCCACTCTGACTCTGGGTTGATATGGGAGAAGGTAGTGCAGGGACCCCACTAAGTGTGGGCCTGGACCTCATGACAAGTGGGGACCACCGGGCTGGGTGTGCATCAGTCATCTTCCTTCCTCCAATAAGTAAGGGGGCTTCGTAGGTCCTAGAAACTCAAGGGGAGATAAGTCAGGGCATCAGGGTAAATTGGAAGTGACCGAGACAGACTCTGTCTCCCAAGAGATGGTGCTGTCACAGAGAGCGCACGCTCACTGGGAAACTTTCCTACTGTGGCCAAGTATGAATCTCCTGAGGACTGACTCCAACAGACTCAAACAGAGGTCTCGGGGGGAGGGGACATGTTAAGGTCTCCAGGATGAGGAGGGAGGAGACACTGGCAGGGCTAAAGACTGTGAAGTTCCGGCTGGGCGCAGTGGTTCATGGCTGTAATCTCAGCACTTTGAGAGACCGAAGTGGGCGGATCACGAGGTCGGGAGTTCAAGACCAGCCTGGCCAACATGGTGAAACTCCATCTCTACTAAAAATACAAAAATTGGCCGGGTGCAGTGGCTCATGCCTGTAATCTCAGCAGTTAGGGAGGCCAAGGAGGGCGGATTACCTGAGGTCGAGAATTAGAGACCAGCCTGACCAACATGGAGAAACCCCGTCTCTACTAAAAATACAAAATTAGCCAGGCGTGGTGGCGCATGCCTATGATCCCAGCTACTCAGGAGGCTGAGGCTGAAGAATTGCTTGAACCCAGGAGGCAGAGGTTGCAGTGAGCCGAGATCATGCCATTGCACTCCAGCCTGAGCAACAAGAGCAAAACTCCTCAAAAACAAAAAAAAAGACTATGAAGTTCCAAGATGGCCTTTGGGGCCAACCACCGGCTGGAGCCTGTGGCCCTGAGCTGGAGTGGGACGGGGAGTGTGGAGGTGGTGGGTGTGAGGTAGGGAGGCAGGCTGGAGGGGCTGAGGCCCCTGGGCAGGGAATGAGGACCCTTCTTGTTCCCCTTCACACACTCTGTAGCTGTCAGGCCTGGTATCGGCACTCATCCCACCACCTCCCCTCCAGTCTTTCCAGGGGCCAGGGCTCTCCCTGGGGAAAGAGAGGCATGGTCTGGCCTGCTGCAGGAAGGATCCCTGCTACTAGGGACCTCTGACCCAGTAAGGAGGCTTGAAGGGCCTTAGGGGAAAAGGGGTTTCCAGAGGTCCTGGAATCAGCCCTTAGTAGCAATGACAGCCTTACCCCCTTCTCTGCCCTCACCTCCTCACCCATGCCCACCTGGGCCCCACTCACTTAAATTCCTTGTAGTTGGGAACAACCCGGGCAATCACCACAATGGGGTTGGGGTTGTTGGCCAGGGGCTCGTTGAATCCCCGGAGAAAGATCTGGAGAGGAGAGGAGGCAGGTGAACCCCCATGTGCCCTTGGAACCTTCCAGAGGCAGCCAGCCAGCCTGCCCACCATCTTTCTCCCCAGCCATGGGCTCATGGCTGCCTCCACACTTGACAGCTGCCCTTCCCTGTTCTTTGCCTTCCTCAGTCCCGCCTGGCACCAGGCTGCCCTTCCTCGGGAAGCCTCTCTGCCTAGCTGAGGCAACTGCCCCTGCTCTCTGTCCTGGGATTTGCCAAAGGATCTCTTACACCAGTCCCTTTGGGGAGAAAGGGTGCAGTGAGAGTTGGGGCCTGGGAAGGGAGGTTGTATTCTAACCTCGGCCCCTCCGCTGGCTCCTTCTCCGAACATGCTGAACTTCCTGAGGTCAGTGGTCACAGCCAGGCTCCCCTGGCCTCCCTGGCACCCATCACCCTGGTGCCTGCTCCCCACAAGTCTTCCCCAGCAAGTCCAGGTTTGAAACAGGATCGTGCCATCTGCATCTCCGGGCTCCTCTTTCTTCATCAGATCCCATTGCCACTCCCCTGACCGCCCGGTTACCTCCTCTGTCCTCTGCCACCTCCTAAGGGCTTGCCTGCCTCCCAGCCCTGACTGCTCTCTCCCCCACTCCAGGCTTCCACTGGTGCAGCTTTCAGAGAGGAGAGTGGGCCCCAGCAGGAGGCTACAAAGCAGGACTGGGCAGCGTCCCTTGCTCCAACCCTCACTGACCCCCTGCAGTCTGGGCCTGGGGAACACTGGAAGGCAGCCAGGGGAGACAGGGAGTCTGCCCCCATGCACCCCCACTGCCAGCCCGAGAGCCCCTGATCTCCCAGCCCTGACTCTTACCCCATATCCACCAACGGCCCTCCATCTCCCTCAGCCCCCCACCACCTCCCACTCGCTGTCATTCCTTTCGTTCCTCCCATTCCTCTGTCTCCTCACTGGCCTCTCCACTTCTGTTCCTTTCCCTAATCCATCCACTTTCCCAGGCAATTTGACGCATGATGGCGAAAGTGCTCTTGTTAAAAATGAACTGGGTCATGTCACTCCCTGCCTGACACCCCGCATGTCCCTCTGCCTCATCTCCCGACGTGGAGGGGGGCAGACCCCGTCTTCCTGCTCCAGACTCCTTTTCTCTCACTCCTGCCACACGGCCTTCTCGTTTCTGCCACAGGATCTTTGCACATGCTAATCCCTCAGCCCAGACTCCCCCTACCCCCAGCAGCCCATCATGGCCGGCTCCTCCTCATCCTGCAGCTTCAGCATCGCCACCTTTGAGAAACCTCCCGTGGTATTCTTAATAAAGTAGCCCACCCTATTCTCCAGATCTCAGTTGCTGGATTCCCTTTGCCGTAGCACTCATCATAGCTTATGTTCATTCTAATTTATCTCGTTTATTTTCTGTCTATTTGGCTATATCCCCAGCTCCACAAGAGCAGGGACCATGTCTGTCTCATTCACGGTTGTCATTCTCGGTTTAAACAAAAGTGCCTGGCATAGAAAAGAGCTCAGTATCTGTTTGTGGATAAATGAGGATCGTATGAATGAAGAAGAAGAGAGAAATGGTGGAGGGAAAAGTTTACCCTTCCTGTGTTTATGAGCAGGAAAGAAGGATAGATAGAGAAACAGAAAGACCCAAGAGAGAGAAGGCGAGAAGGCAGGCAGTGGTCTGGGTGAGGCTCTGCCTGGGCCCTGGGGGAAAGCGTGGGATCCTAGTTCTGTGGTGCTGATGGGAAGAGAAGCAGGAAGAGGAAGAGGCTCTGGACACGGTGACGGACTCTGCCCCAGGCACAGCCTGGGATGAGAAGAGGTCCTCACTGGTCTATTCCAGCTCAGCCACTCACTCCAGCTGGGTCACGTTGGCCAGTTCCTGCTCCACTCTGGACCTCAGTTTCCCAACTTGCGCACGGAAGGGTTGAACCATAATCCCCCCTGAGTTTCTAGCTCTGACCTTCAGTGGGAGGAGAGGGCCCAGGAGTGGGGCTTGTTCTGGATCCTCCCCCTTTTTCTCCCTCTGCACCCTCCTCTCAGGCCCCTCTGCCAGGACCCATGTCAGCTGGTTGCCCCGAACCCTAACCCCACACAGGTGTGAGCTGATGGGCACGTACAATAGTCCTCAGGGCCTTGCAGCTCTCACTGAGGGCTCTGGAGACCGAATCCCTTCATCACACTCAAAGGATTGACTCTCTGACGGTACATCTCACACTTTGGGTGGGTCTGGGGTCCGGGCCTGATGGATTTCACTGGAGGCTGGCAGGCCCTATTACTCACAGGCTGCCCAGCAGGTGTAAGCCTGAAAAGAGGGGTAGTGGCGGCTCATTTGCACCTGTTCTGTGTGGACTCCGATCAGGTGTGAATGAGACAGCTGCCCATGTACACCTGCTCACGACAGCCCGGGAAGTGGCGGAAGTTTCAGCTCCTGCCGTGCGCTCACCATCAGGAGCAGGCAGCTACTCTGCAGCCATACCTGTCACACAGACGAAGAGGGCAACCGTGCTGGGAGAGGAGAGTGGGCAGGCTGCCGCAGGCCAGGGAAGACCCCCACTCTATCGCTCTACCAGGCAAGTCCGAGGGCTGAGTGTGGTGGGGCAGCTCCATAGCAGCCCCAGGGTTCTGCCTGGGTCTTGGGGATGTGGCCTCCTCCCTGTGGGGTGTGGCCTGGGGACAGCAAGTTCAGGCTGTTGTCCCTCTTCCTTGTTCTGTGTGTGTTTGAGCTGCTGGCTGTCCTCAGGAAAAAGGGCGTGATAGAAGGTGGGGGAGCAGAGGGCACCTGTAGGTGTGACATGATGGCATTGGAGGGATAGCTGTGGGGGAGTAGCAGTGTGGGTTAGGAGTTCTGGCTGCCATACCATACTCCCCTTGGGTCTCAGTGTCCCCAGCTGTGAAATAGGGCAAAAGAATGCTTCCTCCCCTGCCAGGCTCACGGTGCTGGTGGGAGGTAGGAGGGTGGGAAGGGAAGAAACAGATCAGCCATGTTTGGGTAGGTGGAAGCTCAGAGTTTGGGTCCTGTGGCTTCCACCCTGATCATACTCAGGCCATAGTTGAATTTAAATCTGTCACCTATGGGCAGTTTGAAAGCTGGGGGAAATGGGAAAGGGGCCGGGTCCCTGGATCTTGTCTGCTTTGAGCATCAAGAGTTCCTCTCGAAGCTGCTAACTGGCCTAGAGGGTGGATGGTATTGGGTCAAGGGGAGGATGGCCACACCCAGGGTGGGCCCAGCCCTGTCCTGGCTAATGGAAGAGGCTCTGTAAACAGCTGCTGAATGAATAAATGAACGAATGAACTGAATACTTAATCAGCAGACCAGTCAAACCTCTTTAGCCACAGTACTGAAGGAAAAAGCTCAAGGAGGCCCCACTTCGGCTTGCGGGCCCAGGCACTATCCCAGGAGGGGAAAAATAGAACATTCTTCCCTGGGCTAGAGCCCCTGGGCTATGGGCTAAGAGGGAGCACGGGCACCTCCCCTGCCCCTAGCATAAGATTTGGGGAGACACAAGGCTCCGGGAGCTTCCGGTCCCCGCTGCAGCACAGAGACAGTACATGAGGAGCAGCGCTTTGGCTGAGCCCCTGCCCCCACCTCCAAGGCAGAGACGGAGGGAGAAGAGGCTGGAGCATCTCCATCCTCGTCATTCCTGCCAAAGGGCTTGTCTTCACAAACTCCTTTTGCTATTTTGTAAAGGCCTGGCTGCTTTTTTCATTCTTGACACCTCCGCTCCACACCCTCAGGCCAGCCAGAGGGGGCCAAGGGCAAGGTGTGGGGCCCGCTCAAAGCTTGGGCCCTTCCCACCCCATCCCACCCCCACCCCTGAGGGTCCCAGTCCTGGTACCTCCAGAGCTGCGTGGTTGCAGCCGACATAGCGGGGGATGAAGCTGCTCTTCCGAACGACTGTTGCGTACAACTGAGTCTTGGCAGTGGCTTCGTCAGCTTTCCCAGACTGGGTGGGCTGGAGACAGTGTGGGGGCAGAAGACACAGAGGAAGGAGAGCGTCTAAGGGGCAGATCACGGCCATAAATCCAGCCCACTGCAGACAATCACTGGGCATTGCTCCACTGGGGCTCCGAGCTGATAATTAAAGCTCATGGTCCCTGCGAGCCCTTCCAAGGAGATCAATATAATAAATCTTCCCTTTTCCATTTGAATATTTCATCACCCTCACAAGGACCACTGCCTGTCTGCTCACCAGTAAGGACGTGATAACAAGGCCTGGGCTGTAAGTAAACAGACAGCCAGGGGGCCTGGGTGATGCCCCCAGAATTACGGCTCAAGTGCCGAGTCTCTCAGGGTGAGTAACTCTCTCTTTTACTTCCCTGCCTGGCCCACCCTGAAGCCTTGGGATCGGGGTTCCCTGTGGGGCCTGAGGGAAGGTAAAACCCTAAGGGAAGGCAAAGGGAAGGTAAAAGCCCACAGGTGAAGAATGGCTTAGAAGAAAGTTCAGTGCCGGCCCAGAGGAGGCAGGGAGGGAGAAGGGGAACTGATCAAACTGAGCACCTATTCTGTGCCAGGAACCTTGCCTATCATTGCATGGGACCCTCAAAGTGACTGTGCCAGCTTTGCCGACGAGGATGGAGGCCTGGGGGTTAAGTGGCTTCCTTCCCACGGGTATCCAGCTAGGAGGCAGCAAGCCTGGGATAGAACCCTGACAATCTGGCTTTGCATTGTTCGTTACTGTCCGCCACTATCGGGGTCTGGAGTGCATAGTGGGGAGAGGAATATGATGCCTCTGCTCATCTCCTGGCACATAGTAGGTGCTTCATAAGGCTTTGGGCAATAAGAGAGTGAATTCTACCCCTTACCCCTCAGCACTAGGAGGGAGGACAGGCAAGGGTCTGGCCTGGGAGGTCCAACCTTGGAGTGAGGAGCCTCAGGCCCCTCAGTTCCTGGCTTGAACCCAGGGGTGCATTCCAGGAAATGCTTTATCCTGTGTACCCCCCAACTCTCCTGGGTCTTCTGACCAAGGCAGCGTGTGGAGGCAGCTCAGAAGGAACTGGCTTGGAAGACGGCAGGACCTGGGGTCACCCTCAGCTCTGCCGCTCACTCGCTCACTTGCTCTGTGACCCGGGGAGGAGGAGATTTTTCTCCTCAGGTCCCAGTCCCGTGTCTGCAAAATGTCATTTAGCTTGAGGATTAGAGGGGGGTGTGACGTGTCTAGCACAGGGCCTGGAAGCAGCAGGTACTCTGTAAATATTGTGTTTCTTCGATTTTTAGATCCTCTCTTCTTTTAACATGTATGAAATCAGAATATATCTTTAATTGGTGTATTCATTTAATGCGGCCGTTGTCCTATAATAATCAGCGGTTTCACAGAGATGAATTTGGGGAATTCTAAATTCCTGTAGACATCACTCTTGTGTATGTGGCAGGAGCTGTGTTTCTTGAACCCCACCTGGTCCTAGACTTGTCATGCTGTGGGTGAGTGTGATGCCCAGGGCTGCTCTGGGGCAAAAGCTGGGGGCATCAAGGTGGTTCCCACCTGATCTCCCTGCACTTCCTCAGGCCTCTGACTCACCTTCACCAGCTCAAAGTGGTAGGGGTGGAAGACACGCAGGTACTTGATGGGTATTTTGTAGGACAACAAGTCCTCTTTCTGTTTGTTGTCTACTACCTTGAGGATCACATCTGGAAAGAGAAGAAATGAGCACAGATTCAGTTTTAAATGGATCCCTTTCCCTCCCAGTAAGGAGAGACAGTGAGAGGTGAGAGACATCACCAAGAGTAGAGAGCAGGGGCCACACGGTAAATCAACATGCACGCACATGTGTGGATCACCCCTGTGCACACAAACCCGCAAGCACAGTCTGAGCCCCTGCACAGGGCGAGGCTCCATGCCAGCTGCTGTTAGGACCCCAACAGGCAATTTTCTCCTGTGGTCTAGAAACTCCCAGCCCAGAGATAGACACACACAGAACTGAGTCCAGACCCCTTTGACAACAGACACACATGTGCACACACTGAGTACACAGGCTAACAGGCATAGAGCCTCTCCAGGAATAAGACTCCTTCCCTTGGTCACGAACACTTGTGCTGGCTCTTGATGGCACAAGGATGGGGAGAGATTATCTCTCTCATGTTGCAGGTGGAGAAACTGAATTTCAGTGGGAAAAAGTGATTTGCTCAAGAAATCCTTTAATACAGCTATCAATAAAAGTCTACTACAAGTCAGAGAAAACTGGTCTAAATACTAAGACTAATGGACCACTCGGTAAACAACCTCCGAAGAGACTATATTGTCTCATAAAATGGCGCGAACGTTGGTATAAACTTTTTTTTTTTTGAGACAGAGTCTCACTTTGTCACCCAGGCTGGAGTGCGGTGGCATGATCTTGGCCCACTGCCACCTCCGCCTCCTTGGGTCAAGTGATTCTTCTGCTTCAGCCTCCTAAGTAGCTGGGATTACAGGCACTCGCCACCATGCTTAGCTAATTTTTGTATTTTCAGTAGAGACAAGGTTTTGCCATGTTGGCCAGGCTGGTCTCGAACTCCTGACTTCAGGTGATCCGTCCACCTCGGCCTCCCAAAGTGCTGGGATTACAGGCATGAGCCACCATGCCCGGCCAGGATAAATTTTAAGGAGAACACCAATGTCGTATAAATAATCGTGACAGTGCTGTTTAGTGGGCAGGACTGCCATGATTATTCAGTGAGCATCTACTATGTGCTGAGCATGGGGATGGGCACATCTCAGCCATGATTCCAAAAAATTCTCACCACAACCCCTCAGGTGGGTGGGTATCATCATCTCTCTTCTTAAAATATGAGCAGTGGGGCTCAGAGGGTTATATAAGTTGATCAACATCACACATCTAGAAAGTAGGTGATGGGAAGGGTTGGATTTGGTGACACTCAAGGCATCTTTCTATTCTAGAAACCTATGATTTGAGGAGGAAGAAGAGATGGGGAGAAAAGAAGAAGGCTACAGGAGGAATGGAGAAGGAATGAGAAAGATGGGGTAAGAAATGATACAAAACAGAGAAGAATAGGAAATGGAGGATGGGGCGGAGAGGTGTGCCTGAGGGAGATGGAGTCCCTTGCCCCGTGCCTCTCTTGAGACAAGAGATTTCAGCACCAGGGACAGCAGCTGGCCCTTGAGGGCTCTGCAGGTTCAGTGGGCTCAGCGGCTGGGTCATTTGGAGCTGGATGGGTCATTTTGAGAAGGAAGCTGAGGGCTTTGTTAAGTATTCTTCCTTTCTCTGTCTTCCCCACAGCTACCCTGAACACTTGCCAAGGTATCTCAAGAGCTGGCCACACGGGATCCATGCTCAAAGGAAAGAAGGGGAAAAGGGCACCGAAGGTGTTGAGGTAGGCTTGAAGAAAGGAGACTGAGGCAAGGATTTGAAGTCAGCAGACCTGAGTTCTAGTATCAAGACACTAACTTGCTCTGTGACTGTTAGCAAATCTTTTAGCCTCTCTGAGCTTTGTGTTCCTGCTCTTCGACATGTTAAGACTTTAATAAAGAAGCCGCGTCTCTCCCCTTGGATCGTGGTAGGGAGAAGACTTTGTTTTCAAGCTATAACATTCTGTGCAAGAGCTCCTCGTGGCTGTCACTATTTTCCCTCCTTGTTAACCATCTGCAGCTCTCCATACACAAACCCTGCTGTAGGCAGACCTGAGGAAACTCAGCTGGGGGATTCCAATGCTCCCAGCCAAAGCACTACCAGGAACTGTGCAGACTGAAGCCCCTTATGCCCACTCGCCATGGACCAAGAGTCCCCAGATCCAGTTGGGATTTGCCAGGGTTGAGCAAGAGGTGAGTGCTGTGCATTTCCCGCACCCTCTGTTTTTAGAGCTCTGTGTGGGCAGTCATCAGACGAGCTGGAATTGGGGGTAATGGCCAGCCACTCCTCCCTGCTCCTGTCTGCATGCTACAAACACGCTTCATCAGCTTCCTCTCTGGGCATTGTGCCCTTCCGGCCTCCCACCGCTCCCTTTGTGTGGCCAACAAGCTATTTCTGCCACCCGCCTGCTTTGGCCCTGACACAGGGTCTGAAACTCCCCTTTGCTTTTCATTAACACATCCTTGAGCTACCTCCCACCCTTCCCCCGCCTCTTGGCCTGGCCCCCATCTCTCCCACCCCCACCGCAGACATCACCACAGCAACCGATTCCAACAACCATCCAGCTACTTCAATCTGCAATGAGGCGCCTGCCAATATTCCCTGCCTGCCCAGGCGGCCTTCCCACTCTCTTGTCCCTCCTGCAGTTAGTCCTGCCCCTCTCTCTGCTGCACAATGGGCCCTGGGGTCACTGACCTCATTACATTTTTCCCTCTGTTACCCCAAGTGTGTAGAGCCCAGGGCAGGATCCCAGCTCAGGTCCACCTGCCACAACCTCTAACTTCCCACCAGCCACATAAATACATGCATGCATGCATACACACACAGGCACACACACAAACTACACATACTCAGGCACTGCAAGGCACACAGCACCGTCCAGATCCATCCACACACACACACACACACACCACACTGTTGCAGCCAGACACACCCATGCACACACACACACACACACCACACTGTTGCAACCAGACACACCCATGCACACACACACACACACACACATAAGACACACAGACACGCATGCCTACAGGTAGACACAACATGCATCACATTCACACACATGCACGAACCAGCATGCAGGCATTCACAAAGACATGCACACACAGGCACGCATGTGCCTCTGCATGAAATCTTAGGTCCATTTTTCCTCCTCCTCTTTTGCATCGTGTTAAAGCATCCCAGCAGCTCCACCTACCCCTTTACAGGCAGAAAAGAAAAATTATCTGGCTTGACCTAGACCGAGCTCCTTCCCCTTTTATGGAGGCTCCGGCCCCGTTTCTTTTCTCCCCTTCCACAGTCTTCAGCTGGCTTTCTGCTCTTTGTGAGGAGCACAAGGAGTTCTGTCTAGGTTCCTGGCAAGATTTCAAGGGAGAGAGGCAAAGCCCGTCCTGTCAGGGAGAGACCACCTGCAAGAAGCAAGTCTGAGGTTCCGGCTAGATAAGATCAGAGACATCGCCAGGCACCTCCGGTCTGTGCTGACAGTGCCCGATGCGATGCCGCACAGTCTGGGCATCAACCAAGTCAGCATTCCCACGTGCCCCGCCTGAGCTCCCCCAGGAGTTCAGACCCACAGTCCAACAGACCCACAGTGTGAAAGAAGATACCAGTGTGCACAGGCATGTGTATACGTGGCACCTGCTGGCTCAGGCTGAGACCTGGTGAGGACTAGGAAGGAATAGGGATCCATTCTAGGGACCTTTAGAATATTTTTTTTTAAATCAAATGGAAGCAGCAAGAACCGTGGAGCTGCAGTGAGAACATGCCATGCGGAGTCCTTGGTCCTCGGTCTTCAGCTTCAGCCAGTTAAATTCCCTGCACCTCAATGTTCTCTTAAGCAATGGGAGCAGCATTTCTCCCCCTGGGAGGTGGTGACTCCAGTGAGTGATGTGTGGGGACGTGCTGAGATGCTGTAATGTCCTGTTTCAGTGGGAGACGGCAGTAATAACAGCCATGAAAATAATAACAACCGTCATAAAAAAAGATAAGCTTGCATTGTCTGGAAAATTCATTTATGTGGAACAACTCATTTTTCGAGCAGGATGGGGAGATGAGGCATGACAGTATTATGATTTGTTCTAAGTGCTTTTAACGGAGCCCAGGGAAGTGTTCAGGTGGCTACCAGCTGCGCTGCGAGGGAGCCTGCTTCTGCCCTAAGTCCTTGGCCGTGTTCCCCCGCTGCCTGCACTCGCAGGTCCCGCCCAGCCCCCACCTCACCTTCTCGCCCTGCATCCTCAGCTGGGATCTCCACGTTCACCGTGTCCCCCCAGATAGGGGCTCTGGTGGGTTCTGAGGTCACAGATGTGACTGCCTTGGAGCTCTGCTTGTTCTTTTCCTCAGACGTGCTTTTCCTGGAGAGAACAGGGGCAGAGTGAGTCAGAGGGAGGGGTCCTGTCTGTTGCTTATCCCCCTTCCAGGCTCCCCTGTCCATAAATCTGAGTGAAAGGTGGACAGAACATGGAGAGCTCCTTCCCACACGCATGACCCTCATGTCATCCCAGGCCCAGGGGACTCCAGGCCTTTTGCCCGGCTCCCCCGCCAGCCCAAGTGACCACACTGTCTTGCCGGCCACTGCTGACACCTTCACTCCAACACAGGCCTCTCACTTAGGCTCAGGGCAGGGGTGGGGGTGGGGGTAGATGCCTTGTCCTCGCCAGGGAGGGCTCTCCAGCTGGTGCCCACGTGCATGGCCTCCCTCTTCTCTGGGTTCTGTTTGGTGGGAGGAAGCCTCTGGGCAGGGTGGCTGTGCGGTGCCCCGCCTGGCTGTCCTCTCTTCTTCACCTTATTTCCCTAAACTTCTGGCCCAGATTCTAGGCTCCACCCAGCAATCCCATTTCTAAATGCTTGCAGCGAAGCACGCACATGGTGCCTTCTGTGATGCCTGCTGGTGCAGAGCCGTGGGCTGGACCCCTGGAGCTGGGCCCCTGGAGCTGGGTCCAGGCCTGGGGGCAGGGGGTGGTGGCAGGAGCTTCCCAGCCCTGCAGCACTCAGATTGTTCAGCATCGGTCTGTCCAAGGTGGCGTGTGAGCTTGGGCCTTCTGCCTCCCAGTGCACCTCACAGGCATCTGAGACGCAGAGCCGTCAAACGGCTCAGGGGACAGCGAACACTTCTCCTGTAGAAGAGGTTACTAGACCGGGGCCATCCACAGTGCTGCTCCTTTAACTGCAGCAGTCACGGGCTGAGGAGTCATCCTGTAGCAGAGGGAGCCACACCGCACCCCTTGTAGGGGGGAGGCAAGGTGCACAAAAGGTACCCCAGGACAGAAGCAAAGATGTCATCCCCACCAGCCCTTGTTCCACCCTCAAGGCCCCCAAAGGGAGAGTGGGGCAGGCCAGTTAGCTGAGATCCCACCTGCTCTGTGCATTTGTGACACCAACGTGGTTCTCCCCAGCCCAGCTTGTTCCTCTCCTCCAGGAAGCCCTCTGGAGCCCCCCGGCCCTCACGCTCCCTCTGTCCTTTAGATTTAAGTGATGCTGTAACCTGGCTCCTTGCCTCCACTCCTCAGAGTCCTGCTCCTGTGGGTAACCATGCCCCGGTGGGTTCCATGCCCCAGCTCCAGGGGTCCACCGAGGACTTCCGTTCTGCTTCGACTGAGAGGCAGTGTGACACAGTGATTGTAACAGGGACCCTGCAGCCAGGTATTTTGGGTTCTAAATCCCAGCTCTACCCACTACCAGCTGTGTGACATTGGGCAAGGTACAGAATCTGTGGTGCCTTACTTTCTTCACCTAGAAAACGAGATGGTAACGGTGCCTGCAGGGCTGCAGTGGGAATGAAATGAATAAATGTGTGTAGTGCTTGGCACATTGCTAAGTACCAAGAAAGTGTTTATAATTCTTAGTATCTTAAACTATTAAAATATAAATATAATTCCTTGTTATGACCCCATAGCACTGGACAGCTTAGCGTCACTGACCCTCCTGCGACCAGCCCCTTTGCCCTGGCGTGATTTCTCCCCATCATGTCCCCAACTTTGGGACTACGATTGGGGGTGCCTGGCTGCTCTGGCCAAGGTGTGGAATCCTGGAAAGAGCGCAAGCTCGGGAGTGACTCCGAGCTGGATTTGGAGTCCGCGTTTATGCTGGTGGGATCACCCCTCCTGCATCTAAGTTCCTCCTTTTACAATAGTACCCTCCTCAGAGAGTGGTTATAAGGACCAGAAAGAAAGCATGTTCAGCTCCCAGCACCCAGGAAGCCCCAGTTTGTGTGATGCCCTTGTTTGTGATACAAAACGGCCTGGGCGTTTTCTTTTTTTCTCTTTTTTTTTTTTTTTTTTGAGACGGACTTTCGCTCTTATTACCCAGGTTGGAGTGCAGTGGCACAATCTTGGCTCACCGCAACCTCTGCCTCCTGGGTTCAAGCAATTCTCCTACCTCAGCCTCTCGGGTAGCTGGGACTACAGGCTGCGCTACCATGCAGCCTGGGCATTTTCTTAAGAGGACCTGCCTGATGGCAGCATGAAGGGGAAGGAGGTAGGTGCTGAGTACAAGCTGGAGTGAGAAGGTGCATCTCTCAGAGAGCCAGAGCCCTTCTCAGATGAGCGTCCATCCATACACATCACCTCCGCAGGCCCTGAAGAATTGCTCCTCACGCCTGCAGAGGAGCGCGTGGGAGGCTGCCAGGCTGGAGAAAGAGGTCAGAAGCCTGGCAGGGATGATCATCTTGCCCCCTCTACCCTTAGGTCCCTTTTTCCCTCCGGTTCTGTGATCAGACTTGACCGAGGGGTGCAATGTAAGCACCTCTGATGACACTCTGTGCCCCGGCTCCCGCTCCTGACAGCTGCCCCAGCAAAGTCAGAGACCTCAGGCTCTGAGCAGCCTCCCTGTGCTACCCAGCCACCCGATCTGCTACTTATAGATACACAGTTAGTGCACAATGAGGCCTCACAGCCTCCCTCTTCAGGGACCTGCACAGAAACACAGCAGGATGGCAGTGGCAAGGGTGTGTCAGGAGGAAGTCAGTCCTTCCGCATCCAAACCAAATGTCAACCCCAGAGCTGGACACGAAACCTGCGCCTGCACGGGCACATGCCTGGGGATTCCCAGGGATCTTCATGTGGCTCTGTGTGCACAGAGAAGACACAGCTGAAGATGTGAAGTCACAGGCAGCAGAGCGACAGGATTCAGGTTGTACCCCATGCCCCGTACTTGCCAGCCTGCCTCCTATCCTCGTATCCCACCAACCCCTGCAAGCTCCCGGGAGGCTGGCAGGAGGAATTCCCAGGTGCAAGGAGGTGGGGAAGGGCCATGGGGCAAGGCAAGGGGGCAGGTGCTGACTTCCCTCCGGCACAGAAACAGTTAAGCAACTGTTTTCCTCACCTCCCCACCCCATCTAATACGAGGAAGATCGTCAGGGCTAGGTGAGCACAGATAAAGCAACTGGGTGGGAGGGGGAGGCCCCAGGGGGACGGGGAGGCTTTTAGCAAGTGGAGGGGTGCTGTCAGGGTAATGGCTTTTCCTGGCACAGCTGACTCCTCCCGGCCCTGCTGCTATTCTAGAATCTGGTGAGCAAGAAGGGCTTCTGATTCTTCACAGAATAGGAGCAGGTGACCAGCTCTCTCCCTGCCCCCAGCCCCCATTCTGCAACCCGCAGATGGGCATGTGGCTGAGTCTGGGTCCCCAGGTTCCCTTGGGGCTCCCAATGCAGTCTGAGAGCCCAGGTGACCTCTCCAAGATCCGCCTCCCTAGACCTCTCCACAGGCTGTCTGCAAGGAGAAACCTCCTCCCTGTCCCCACAAAGACCTGCCCTGGTGGTTTGGACCTGCTAGCTCCAGACATCCAGGGCCAGGAGGAGCTAACGGATGATGTCTGCTGTCTCAGGGCCAGATTCAATCCAGCCACAGCCTGGGCAGCCGTGCCAGGATAGGACTGGAGTTGGGTTTAGAGGTGCAATGCAGCTGCCCTGAGACCAATCTGCAGGTAAATGTAAACCACCTTCAGCCTGGCCGACGCACCGGGTACCTTACTTTCTTCATCTATAAAAGGAGATGGTAACAGGCTACTGGAAGTGTGTGTGTGTCTTTGACAAACTCCAGTCCCTAGCCGGGCATATCTGGGGCTCCCAACCCAGCAGCGGGTGAGGGGGCCAGGCCCAATCACAGCTGTGAGTGGGAGGGAACAAGGACTTTGCTTTCCTTCTGCAAGGTCACGACGAAGGGAAAATGTGTCATCTGGTTCCTGGGGGCTGCAGCTGTGAGAGGAAAAAGTGAGCATGGGAAAGGCACGGGACTTGACGGAGAGAAAGCAAGAGTGCTCATGAGCCACCTTCTCCCTCATCCACACATGCACACACACACACGCACACACACGCACACAAGTGCATGCACATACACATGCATACACACATGTGTACATGCACAAAAGCTGCCCAGAGAGGTGTGAGTACCATACTGTACCCACCCTCTAACCTACCAGCCCTCAAGCTGCCTCCAGGGTCTTCTCTTCACACCTGAGCCCACCTGCCCCATCTGCCCTGCCCCTCCTCTTGGCCTCTGGCTCCCCTCAAAGCCTCCAAGCAGGAACACTAGTCAAGGCCTGGCCTCCTCCTGGGCAGAGCTTCAGAAGGCAGGGCACAGGTGGCCTGGCTTATTTTGAGTGCCAATCCCAAGACTGCCACCAGGAGAGCAAAGGAAAGAGGAGGGCCCCCACTCAGGTCTGCTGTGGCTGCCGGGGTCCTGGCTGGGCAGGCTCGTAAATCCTAAAAGACTAGAGGGATGTTCCCAGAGGCCCCTTGGGAGGGAAGCTGTCAGACAGGCACTGAGAAGGATGGATAAAGAGCAGGTCTTGGCCGGGCGTGGTGCCTCACGCCTTTGGAAGGCGGAGGCAGGTGGATCCACTGAGGTCGGGAGTTCAAGACTTGCCTGGTTAACAAGGTGAAACCCTGTTTCTACCAAAAATACAAAACGGTAGCTGGGCGTGGTGGCATGAGCTTGTAATCCCAGTTTCTCAGGAGGCTGAGGCAGGAGAATCGCTTGAACACAGGAGGCAGAGGTTGCAGTGAGCCAAGATGGTGGACTAGGAGGTCTTAAGCCCCTTTGACCTGGTCTATCACAGCCATTGCTGGCTCACCTGGGAAACCGAGAGGGAGGCGAGGGGACTGGCAGTCCTCCAGGTCAGCTGTCGGATGTCATGGTGGGGCCTCCGTCTTTCCTGAGAAGGTAGGGCAATTCCCCTCTACCTGCTTCCTCCGTGCCAGCTTCTGAGCCAGGGAGGCCTGCCTCCTCCTTCCTCCGTAAGTCCAAGAGGCAGCCAGACACCCAGGCCATAGGCTGGGCCTGCCTCCGTCCCTGGAAGGTGGAGGAGGTGAGGAGTTGGCTTCTGCAGAGACAGTCATCTGAATGGGGTGGCCAAA